CAATCGCACACCAGTTGTTGATAATTTAGTCAATGGTATGCGCCAGCTCCTAGTCAGGACATATTTTTTTTAGGTAGATTAATTTATTAATTTTGCTAATTGTTTATATGCGAAAGTTGAGATAGATGGATTCGAACATTACAGTTTGTTAGATGGTGTCTCCTAAAGTACTGAACGGATCTCGATGAAATTTAGTATAGATGTAGAACATAGTCTGGAAGAACACATACCCTACTTAGTTAGGTCAACTCCACGCGGACTATCGCGGCCAAAAGATTTTATTATAAGACTGATTAATTTTCTTTCTCCTCATGAATAAAATCATACCAATTGTTGGGCCTTACTTCACTCACTCACTAGCTTTCGCCCGCGACTCAAAAAAACAACAGCGAGAACAGAAAAACAAGAGACGAAAAAACAAAAGTAAGTAAAGCGTATGTATTCTTTCAGACTGTGTTCTACATTTGTGTCTTTCATGGAGATTCGTTTAGTCATTTAGGCGGCAAACTCTAACAAACATCCATCTAAACTATCGCATTTTATTTTTTTATAACATAAGGTGGCAAACGAGCAAGCGGCCACCTATAACCGCTAAAATGGCGAAGCGACCGCTGCCCACATAGACATCCGCAATTGTAGATGCGTTGCCTACCCTTATACGACGGAGGAGGAGACGCACATAAAGAGGTTATTTCCCCTTCCTATGCATCTCCTCCACCGTCAAATCCACTTCCTCTTCCCAACCTCTCCTTATAAGAAAAGGGTGGTAAAGAGAAAGGGACTCAAATTAGGCCTCCGGCACCACACTCATCAGACGAAACACGAAATTGCTTCCATTTCACGCCTGTTTTCTGTGTGGTCGTGGTATTACACCGGGCGTGCCGGCCCATTCGTGCTAAGATCTTAAAGCGGGCACTACCACTGTTAAAATTTCGCATTTTTTCGCATTTCGCATTTATAATTAGTAAGATTACTTCAGAAAAGATCCCTTCTGGTATAAAAGTCATTAAAGGGCAAATCATTAACAACGTGATAAAATTTAATTGCATTCATAAATTTTAACTCAAAACATCTCATTATCTTGAAACAACGATGAAGACCACAACAGAAACATTTTTATTTGTTAGAAATAAAATGTTTGCAAACAAAATACGAATTATAAAAATTCGCAAACATTCCATTTTCAAATATCGCATGGCATAATAAGGACTACTTTTGTTTTATTCCTTTGCCCTTTTAAGTTTTAAAAGCACATTCGAAGCTGTCAGCTTGTGTAGTCAGATAACACACGTCTTAACGGGGCTTCGAACCCTATCTAGTGTCAAGGGTGACTAGGTCATAGTCTATAACACTGACTGACGCTAACCCAGTGCGGGTTGATTGACTTCTCACACATTTATGTATTCCTTCGCAACAGTAAACTATTACTTACAATATGTGCTAAATAAAGCTGGTTGAAGAGGTTTTCTTTTATTTTATTACTAACTTTCACCCGCGAGTCCGTTCGCGTGGAATTAAAAAAAAACAAAAACGATGCGTTCTTCCAGACTATCCCCTACATCTATACCGTAATCGTAATCCGTTGAGCCATTTAGATTACAAACTCTAACAAACATCCATCCAAACTTTCGCATCTGTAATATTAGTATGAAGTATGATATAGTGTTTCATAAGTGGTTAGGTTAACATAGTTTCAAAGAAGTAAACTCAAGCCATGTAGTTCAAAAACGTATTTAATGAAATTATCGAACCAAACATACTAATGATTGGTTTAAAATAGCTGGGAAACTGAGCGTAAATGGCAATAATTCTGCATCATCTAAAAAATCACGTAAACCATATAAAAACAATTGAATTAAGAACCTTATTTTTTAATTCGGGTTAAACAAAATCCATGAAACAAGAGACGGTTGAGAAATATTTTATTGGTAGTCCTATTTTATTCGTTCGCAAACTCTTCAGTAACAGAGAACACGCATTAAAATCAAATTAGAAAAGTTGGAATTTAAGAATAGAAATGGCCCAAGTTTGACTTTCGTCGTTTTTGTGTTAAACATCATAATGCTTTCTACCATCTTAATGTTGAGAAAAAAGAAAAAAGCCTTTATCGTTGATAGCTACGAATCGTATTGTTGTTTTTGTTTCGTTTTTATTACATTTAATTATGTACAATTTTAATCTGTACCTTAATTAAAAAACCAAATTGAGCCGCCTACGTGTTTTTCCAGACTATCCTATACATCTATACCAAATTACATCGAAGTCCGTTCAGCCGTTTAGGCTACAAACATCCATCGATGTAAACGTTCGCATTTATGATAGTAAGATTGTCAACGCGAAAGTCAAGATGCATGGATATTTTTTTACTATATATCTTTAGAACGTTTCAACGGATATCGCTGAAATTTGGCATGCATTTAGAACATTCTATGGAAGAAAACAGGTCTGTTGCGTCTGTGAGTCGCAGACGACAGCCAGTTATTCCATAATGTTAAGACTCTTATTCCACTTGGTGACCAGTCTCACGTTACTGTGAAAATAAAAAGTGTCGCATATCAGACTTAGTGGAAAAGAGGTCTAAGAAGTTAAATTGTATTTTATGCTTCATTTATGGTATCATCGTGTTATTTAAATTACTATCAAAGAGTAGACGTAGACTTTAATATATTTGCTAAATTAAGGTAATTTACAAAACCAAACGCAATCCATCCATCTCTGGTTATAGTTTTACGTTGTCTGACTGTAGATTTAGCGAAAAAGCGGCAAGTACCAACATGACGTATACGGAATAAATGTACATATACTAGAATGTTTGAACTAAACTAATGTTTGTTCAAACCATCAGCATACTTGTGATGATGCGTTGCAGAGGTGACAATTATTTTGTAGTGTTTTTATATTGTAATAATATTTGTCATACTAAAAATATTCGTAATAAAATATCACATTCCAAATTGATGGGCCCATCAGAATAAAATAAATTTCAATAGAGATTTAGATCGTGTGTCGTTTTTTTTGTTTATCAAAGCTTTGACTCTCAAACTAGGTGTCCTTGTATATCAGAAGCCAATTTTATTTTCCCATACTGATAGGATAAAGAGATAAGTTTTGTATTCCGTGTTGTTTTAAAAAACAAAACCGACTTCCAAACAAAATACACTAAAAACAAAACAAAATACACTAAAAACAAAATATTCTCAAAAAAACAGTACACTAAA